CTATTCTATTCTATTCTATTCTATTCTATTCTATTCTATTCTATTCTGTTCCTTATTCTATTCCACTCTACTCTACTCTGTTCTGTTCTATTCCTTATTCTACTCTACTCTACTCTAGTCTTCTATTCTATTCTATTCTATTCTATTCTATTCTATTCTATTCTATTCTATTCTATTCTATTCTAATTCTATTCCTATTCCTTTCTAATGTATATGACTACCATCTAAAACAAATAAGCCTGGCAGTTTATAAACAACACACACCAAAAACCATACTGTAAAAACCAATATAAAACTAAACCAAAAAAAAAAACCCAATTGAAAAGATACCTGAAGTACAGTCACAGAGGAACCTTTGTAAACTAACTCACAGTCCTCCTAATGCAAAGCAGGGAAAATCTAGGTCTTCACTGCCTTCCAGAAGACTAAGAAGATGGGGACAATTCCAGATTTCAGGGATAAAAGCCGCTGCAGGGCAGGTGCTGTGACAGAGAAAGCATTATTTCCTGGGTTCTACTGGAGGAAAATTGTTTGACTGAAGGGACCTGGAGCAAATGATTTTTGCCAGAACTGGTGGAAGAGGCAGAAATCATTGGAGGATGTAGAGTGTAAGAGAGAAGAGCTTGATAGTGTTATGCTAGCTCAGCTGCCAAGTTAGCAAGAAACAAAATATATGTTAGGTCCACAACAGAGAGATAATATTCAGAAACAGTTTGAGTACTTCCCTAACTTACTGAACAGGAGGAGGAGGAGGAGGAGAAGGTACACCACAATTTCTTCTATAGAATTGATCTCCTAGTCTGGCCTACTTAGTGGAGATGATATCAACTGGGAACCAGTGCAGCTTACGCAATAGCAATATCACATAAGCAAACCTTGCCGCTCACATTATCACATCTACTGCTGCATTCCGGCTGAAGCGTCTATGTGTTTTTCAAGGGCAGCCCCACATAGAGTGTCATGCAGTAATCCAACCAGGAAGTGACTTAGGTGTGAGTAAATGTAAGCAGCCTCCTGATTCAGGAACAGGCACAACTGGTACACAGGAAGTTTTATGCATCAGCTCCCCAAGAAGGAGATGTGAATCTAGAAGGACCCCTGCACTGCACGTCAACTCTGTCTGGGGAACTCTGTTACCGCGTTTAAAGATCCAAGATGAAAAATGCCCAGGAGTGTGTCTCTCTCTCTCTTTCTCTCTCTCTCTCTCTCTCTCTCTCTCTCTCTCTCTCTCTCTGTGTGTATGTGGCAAATCCACAGTCACTCAGCTGCCAGGTTGCAGCCTGTTCCTCTCCCTCCAGGTCTTCAATGGTACTCAAGATCTCAAGGTTGAAATGCAGTTAGAGTACATTTCAAAAGTAATCAATAGCACACTGAAGATACTTAACTGGGCATCAGTGATAGATCTCTTCTACCAATTTCAAATAAATATTGAGTGGAGAGACATCTGAGTCCTGAGGCACTGCCACATCAGAGGTTTAGAGGTAGATCTTTCCTCCCCACCACCGACTGGACCATCTTCAGAGGAAGGAGGAAAACCACTGTAGAACTGTGCCCCATTCTTCAAACTCTTGAAACCAGTCTAGAAGAATGAAGTTATTGTAAACTGCTGAGACCCAGGACAGACCCCATCCTAGCCCTCTAGTCATCCACAAGTACAATTAATGCCATCTTGGTACTATAACCTGGCCTCACACATCTAACTGAGCCACGGTGGCGCAGTAGTTAGAGTGCAGTACTGCAGACTACTTCTGCTGACTGCCGGCTGCATGCAGTTCAGCAGTTCAAATCTCACCAGGCTTAAGGTTGACTCATCCTTCCATCCTTCCGAGGTCGGTAAAATGAGGACCCAGATTGCTGGGGGCAAGATGCTGATTCTCTAAACCACTTAGAGAGGGCTGTAAAGCACTGTGAAGTGGTTTTGTAAGTCTAAGTGCTATTGCTATTGCTAACTCAAACCTTCAGACTGATTTATAGCTCTTTAAAAATAGCTAATATCACTGCCTTTTTTCCCCCTGTAATTGATCAAAATCCAGTGGAGAAGGACATATGCACGGGTTCCCTTTTAACTGAGAAATCCCAATTTTCCAGGGATTTATGCAAGAACCTCAACATATAGGGCAGGCTCCCTACTCAGAATTAAAAATACCTGGAGTGTCTTCTCTACCTGTCTGCATATTTCTCCCATTCTTCTCCCCACAGTGTGTGTGTGTGTGTGAGAGACTTTCAAAATATGTGGGTTTTCTCCACTCTGCATTATATTAATCTGTCAGTTTATATCCATAATGAATCCTACAGTTATGCTTTTTCTTATTGAATTCACTATATGGATCCAACAACATGAAATTCAACGTGGAGAAAAACAAGGTTTTGCACCTAGGCAGGGAAAATCAAAGGTACAAGTACACATTAGGCAAAACCTGGCTCAAAAACAGTAACTGTGAGAGGGACCTTGGGAGACCTAGTGGACAATCGCTTAAATATGAGCTAGCTGTGTGTGGCAGCAGCCAAAAACAAAAGCTAATATAATCCTTGGTTGTATAAACAGAGGTTTAGAGTTGGGATCGTGTGAAGTGTTAGTACTACTTTATAAAAGCACGGTAGGACCACACCTAGAATATTGCATCCAGTTTTGGTCACCACGTTACAAAAAAAGATGTCGAGATTCTGGAAAAAGTGCAAACAAGTGCAACTAAGATGATTAAAGGCCTGGAGACAAAAACATAGGAAGAATGGTTGCAGGGTATGGATACTCTAGAGAAAAGAAGGACTAGGGATGCTACGATAGCAGGATTCCCGTATTTGAAGGGCTGTCACAAAGAGGAGGGGGTCCACTTATTTTCCAAAGTATTAGAGGGCAGGACAAGAAGCAATGGGTGGAAACTAATCAAGGAAAGATTCAACCTGGAATTAAGAAGAAACTTCCTAACAATGAGAACAATTAACCAGTGGGACAGCTTGCCTTCAAAAGTTGTGGGTGCTTCGTTACTGGGTGCTTCATCACTGGACAGCTACTTGTCTGAAATGGCACCCCATTGAACGAGGGGTGGTGCTAGAAGACCTCCAAGGTCCCTTTCAGCTCTATTCTGATTGATCGTATTGTCAATGCTTTCACCAAAGCAAGGAGAGTTTGAATCCACAGGCTAGGATTGTTCATCCTATCACCTTGCAGCATCCTCATTTCACACCAACTTACAAACTGAATTTCCCTAAAATACTAAGCTCAAGTGGGGTTGCACCAAGACAAATTCCTCGTGTGCCCAATCACACTTGGCCAATAAAGATTTCTATTCTATTCTAGCGTTTGAACCGGGCTGTTCTGCTCTTCAGACTAAAGCCGGGAGACGGAGGGGGCACGGGGGAAGAGGCCGGCGGGACTTTGCTCCCGAGTAAGCCCATCTGGCACCGCATCTGGCACCCAGAGGAATCCGGGTAGGGCTTTTCCGCAGGCTAATCGCCAACCCGCTCGGGAGTTCAAGAAGAGTTTCCTCTCCGGCGCAGCCTTGCACAACCCTCCAGAACCGGGGGTGCGGAAGGGACGCCGCTTCGGAAAGTAAGTCCCGCTGTGAGGTCTGATTTCCCCAGAGCTGCTGGGAGGAGAATTACAGAGTTGGAAGGGACCTGGGAGGTCATCTAGTCCAACCCCCCCCCTCTCCCCCCGCTGCTCCGTTTCTGACAAGTGGCCGTCCGCGACTCTTCTGGAAAACCTCCGGCGGTTGATGGGGCGCCCACACCTTCTGAAAGGCAAGCCTTTCCAATGGGTCTCCATCGTTCTCGCTGTCAGGAAATTTCCCCTTATTTTCTAGGCTGAATCAGTTTTCGAGGCTGAATCCATTGTTCCTGGTCCTCCTCGGAAGATGGGAGGGAGGAACGGGAGTTGGACCGAGCGCCCCTCTCCGCCGCCGGCTTAACCTCTTTCAGGCGGCGGCGTAGACCGCACGCTTCCTCCGGCTGCCGCGCCGCTCCTCCTCCTCCCCCCCTCCCCCTCCTCCTCTTTCTCTCCACCCCCTCCGGCTCGCTCGGGCGCGAAGGGAGGGGCAGGGGGTGTCGCTCTGCCCGCGCGGGGAGGCGCCCCCGATCCGCCCTCGGCAAAGAAAGCTGGCTTGAGAAGCAGGCGGGCGCGGGCGAAGCCAGTCGCGCTCCTTCGCGGTGATGTCGCTGCTCGCTGGCTCCAGCGCTGCCCGCAGGGGGACCAGGTTGCCGTTCAGGTGGGTGAGCCTCCGCAGGTCCCGCCCCCCCCCCCCCCCGCACTCCCTTCTCCCCGCCGCCGCTGCCGCCTCTCAGCTGCCCCCTTCCTCCTCCCCTCCCTGCCTCAGCCGGGCGGGGCTTCTGGCGCGCGCTGAGTTCGGGAGGACGCCCCCACCCCTCAGTCCCGCCATCTCGCGGTTGGGGCTGCTTGCTTTCCGGAGAAACTACACCGTCTCCCCCTTTCGAGGGTGGGGAAACACGGGCCTCTACGTCCGCTGCTCCCTCGGGCGAAGAAAGACAGCGGGGAAAAGGGTTTCTCTCTCTCTCGCTCTCTCTATCCTCCCTATCTGTCTGTCTGTCTGTCTACCTACCTACTGTACCTACCTACCTACTGTACCTACCTACCTACCTACCTACCGTATCTACCTACCTACTTACTGGATCTACCTAGCTACCTTATCTACCTACCTACTGTATCTACCTACCTACCTACCGTAGGTATCTACCTACCTAGCTACCGTATCTACCTACCGTATCTACCTACCTACCGTACCTACCTACCTACCGTATCTATCTATCTACCTACCGTATCTATCTACCGTATCTATCTATATCTTTCTCTCTCTTTTCCTCACGGCTCAGCCTACCTCGCAGGGGTGTTGTGTGTGCGTGTGTGTGTGTGTATGAGGGATGGACGGAGGACACTCCCGAGAAAACCCCTCACTGTAAAAAAAAACAAAAACAAAACAAGGAGCGCCTTTCTTTCGCGAACGGAGTAAACCCTCAAAAGTCTTCCCTGGAACCGTCTTGGACGCCCTCAACATTTGCCCCCACCCACCCACCCACCCAAAGAAGAAGCCGGGAGGTCGTGCCTCAATTTTAACGCTTCGGGCAATCTTTTCCCGCCTCCCCCCCCCCACCCGCCGTCCCCCCCTTCTTCCTTCCCTCGAGAGGCGCTCCCCCACCTGAGGAGGTCTCGCGCTGCCCCGAGACGCCTCGGGGAATCGGCGGGACGGGGCTGCGAGGGAGGGAGGGAGGGAGGGACGGGGGCGGCGGCGCCGGAGGGTGTGTGTGTGGTGGTGGGGAGAGTCTTCAAGGGCTCCCAGGCGCTGCCTGCCTTCTCCTCTGCCCCGCCCCGATTCCGCGGCTCGCTCTCTTGAAGCGGCTCCGGCTGCGCGAAGAGGCTCCCCGGGACAGGCGGCTGCGGAGCCGGCATGGAAACTCCGCCCCCCCCCCGCCCCCCCCCCCCCCCTCAACAGCCGGTGGCTGCATCCCCGCGCCGTGGAAACCGGAGACCCGGGCCTCAAAAAGACACGAGAGTTCGAAATAGTTTCGTGGAGCCTCCCCTGGTTCTCCCGTTGCCTGCAGGGGAAAGTTGGGACAGTGGATCCCCCCCACACCCCCAGGTTGGCTAAAAAGTGAACTGGGCAATGGGTGCCGCTAGCTTCGAACCTCGCCATTACAGGTAGTTCTCTTACAACAGTTCGTTCAGTGACGGGTCAAAGTTACAAGGGCACTGGAAAAGGGGGGATTTGGGACGGGGGTTTCGCACTTACCACGGTTACAGAGTCCCCCCCCACCCCTCAGGTGATTTACATTTGGGTGCTTGACACCTGATTCGCATTTATGACGGTTGCAATGTCTCAGAGTCATGTGACACTCCCTTTTGGGACCTTCTGAGGAGCAAAGACCATGAGGAAATCAGATTCACTTTAACCCCTGTGTTACTCATTTAAAGATCATCGATGCTTAACAGCTGTGGCAAGAAAAGTCGTAAAACGGAGCAAATTCACTGAACAGATTTCTCACTGTCACATAAATGTTGGGATCCGTTGTGGTTGTGAGGATTGCCTGTATGTGGAGATCCTCCAATGGTGGGTTGTGTTGCAAAACTCCCATGTGTCAGTGCCAGTTAATGACTCCGGATGACTTAAAATAAAATTTAAGACTTTGGTACAGGTAGTCCTTGAGTTAATACGGCCACAATTTTATGTTGCTAAGTGAAACATTCATTGAGTTTGTCCCCATTTTACGACTTTTCTTGCCCCAGTTATTAAGTGAATTGTTGCATTTATCAAATTAGTAATCCGGTTGCTAAGTGGATCTGGATTCCCCATTGACTTTGTCAGAAAGTCACAAAAGGGGATCATGTGGCCACAGGACACTGCAACTGCCATAAGTATGAACCATTTGCCAAGTATCTAAATTTTGATCATGTGACTATAGGGATGCTGCTATGGTGTGAAAAATGGTCATAGCTCACTTTTTTCAGTGCTGTTTGTAACTTTCAATGATCACTCATTCAACTGTTGTAAGTTGAGGACTACCTGTAAGCTCTCACAGTTTAGTCCAGGGGTCTCTAACCTTTAAGACCTGTGGACTTCAACTCCCAGAATTCTTCCTCCAGTCATGTTAGCTCAGGAATTCTGGGAGTTGAAGTCCACAAGTCTTAAAGTTGCCAAGGTTGGAGACCTCTGGTTTAGTCTGAAAACGAGTGACCAGGCAGCCCGTAACTACAGTACCAGGGGTGGGTTTCTACTGGTTCTGTCTACTTCTGTAGAACCGGTAGCTCTGAAGAGCAGCAGACATAGAACCGGTTCTATGTCTGCTGATGTTTTTGCCCACCCACCCACCTGGGCTCTTACCTGATCTTTATTTCCTGATTTTTCAACTTCAGCTGGAACGAGGCACAGCTGCAGTTAAAAAAACAAGAAAAGATGGCTGTTTCAAAGGCTGCTTCTCGGCAGGTAGCGTGCTAATGATGATTTATGATGATTTACCAGCTGCAGCAGCTCACGGGCAGGGAAGCTTGTAATTCCCGAACTGATAGTTAACCCTTTCGTATCCCACCCCTGTACAGTACACAATAGAGCATTCCTACAACAGGTACCTTGCAAAGTTGTGGTCGACTCAAAAATAATGGTATAGCAAAATAACAGAGTTGGAAGGGACTTTGGAGGTCTTCTAGTCCAACTCCCCGCTGAAGCAGGAGGCCTATACTATTCTGGACAATTCTGGTTGTTCAATCTCTTTAAAACCTCCAATGATGAAGCACCCACAACTTCCAGAAGTAAGGTGTTCCACTGATTAAGTGTTGTCAGAGTCAGGAAGTTTTATTCTTAGTTCTAGATTGGATCTTTTCGTGATAACTTTCCATCCCTTAAGTTCTTGCCCTGCCCAACCTTGGCAACTGCAAAATGGGTTGACTTCAACTCCCAGAATTCCCCAGCCAGGAATGGGGAAAAGAAATTGTAACCAGCACCCACTATATTTGTGTATGTGTGTGTTTGAATGAGCGTGTGTGGAAAAAGAGAATGAATATGTATATTATACTGTATTTTGACAGCAGGCTTTTCTGGAAGTTGACAAGCTTGCATGCTGTTGCTCCACATCTGGGATGACTGAAGTTCCAAGCAGGAGGGGTGGAATAGAAGTCCTCTAGATTCCCTTCCAACTCTGTTATTCTGTTAATTCTGTTAAATTAGTGCAAGCATGCAGAGCCTGTTTCCTTGATTTTTCTCACAGCCCCTTTAGCAAGAGTGACCACAGGAAGCCTCTGTAATTTCTTCTCAGTAGCCAAGCACTGTAATGGGTTTTGCAGAAGTCTTGTGATTCTGCCTAAATCTTGTGTTACATTTTTTCTGGAGTTGTTTTTCTTTGCAGTCCTGCCCAGATCTAGCCTGTGTTTGATCCTGATCCATTTGGTACCTCTTTCCTGTACCAAATTTGGCCCCATCCTATTGACTGAAGGACAGCTAGTTCTAAGTTCCTTAATATATGTTTATCTCAAAGATGGACTGCCTGCAGGTTTTTTTTTGGTCCTTCTTGTGTGTCCCCAGAACATCCATCGAGCCAACAAGGATAAATTTTCCCAGCAGGACAGTAATAAACCGACAGTCAGGCTGGGGGTTTCAGTTTACTGCTTCACTAGTCACAAATTTTAAAAGACTGAAAAATACAATTAAAAAGCCCCAGCAATAATTTGGTGGGAATGCTCTTTGCAGATAAACCACTTTTATTTTAGTTTGAAGAGATAAGAAAGATGAGAGCTGTGGGGGGAAAGAGAAGTAATGAGGAGGCAGCAAAAGATTGATGATTTCTAGGGTCAGAATGTAAATGGTACTGTATCTTATTAGAAATACCCTGGTTATCCACAGGATATGGCCAGAAAAGCCGTGATGGCCATGGCTGTGCAGCTGAAGCTGTCTGTTTTTTATGTACATTAGGCAGAACTTTGGCTATACCATGGCCGCCATCTTGACTTTTTTGACCATATGAGATCATCCTTGCTAAGAGATGAAATCCGGACTAGGAAGCTAAAAAAAAATCAAGTAGAAAGGTTTTTTTTCAATGGTACATAACCTGTCACTATTGCCAAGAACAACATGAGTTGATTTGCCACAGGCAAGATGCAGAAATAGAGGAGACCCCTATAGTTCTGTCCCTAATGAAATTGAGGGTTCTTTTTATTCAGTTGCCCTGACTCATTTATTATTTAAGTCACGACTATTTCATGGTTTCTCAACCTTGGTGGTTTTAAGATGGTGGACTTAAACTCTCAGAATCTGGCTGGGGAAATCTGGGAGTTGAAGTTCACTCGTCTTAATGTTGCCACGGTTGAGAAACAACCTTGGATAGGATAAGAAGTAGCAGATGGAAACTTTTTCAAGGAGAGATCCAACCTACAAATAATAATAGATTTCCTGTCGGTGAGGGTAATCAGTGAAACTGGTTGCTTTCAGAAGTTGTGGGTGTGCTCCATCATTGGAGGTTTTTAAGAAAAGATTGGAAAGCCATTTGTCCAGAATGATACAAGGTCTCCTGCCTGAGCAGTGGATTGGACGAGATGACCTCCAAAGTCCCTTCCAACTCTATTATTCTGTTTTAGGGATTACAATACTGCAGAGTTTCACAGGTCCTGCGCTAAATACATGAATTCTCCACCTCGCCCTTCTGGAGAAAGCAATTCTTGTGTGGGATTCTGCAGTTGTTGTTTTGACCTTTCTCGAAAGGAGAGAGA